TCTATGTCCAATGTGATGAGTAGATATGCTCAATGACCATTGCTACTGTAATCATAGATGAGGTGTGTTCTATATTTTAGATAGGCCTAACCTATGAGCGAGTGGTGTGTATGCTTATAACGCTACTTGCCTTTATAATCACTAACCTAGTTAGCGAGAATGTCATAGAACTGATAGTGTAAAGCAATGAAACTGATGTGTTCATGCTAGGCGTCAGCAAAGGCTAGAGGCTGACAAGGTATATGTCTAAGCCACCTATCTATATCCCGTACGATGAGTAGATATGCTGAATGACCGCTCCTATTGGAATCATACTTGTTGTGGTCTATATTTTAGTAGGGCCTAACCTTTTAGCGAGTGGTTTATACGCTTATAAGTGGCTCTAATCATTAATTCAGGTAGTGAGAATGTGTCACATAACCACTAGTGTGAAGTAATGAACCTGATGTGTACCAGTAAAAATTATGAATAAAAGAGTGCAAACCTTGAGGGCTTGGTTGGATATAGCTAGGATTTAATTTAAGTTGGATTTTGTAAATCCTCTAAATCCGAATTGACTAAATCCTGAGGGTGTTAAATATTAAAAACTGTTTGGCAAAAAGTATGTTAAATTCCTATAAATATTGTGGGACTAATTAACAATATTATTCAAGATTAAAGGCGATTAACTCATTACTCATGTAACATTTGTATTTTGAATAGGAGTTATTTTTTAATTTTAATTTAATTAATATCAATAAATTATAATTATGAATAATATAAATAAATGCTAATTTAATTATGCAATAACTTAGCTAATTATTTAGTTACTAATTATCTAATTATTTATTTGATCTGTTTTGTCTGGATAAAGGTCTCCTCCTTATGTATTATTTTAATAAATGTTTCAATACTAATTATAATAGCAATTAATTAATTAATTATTATTTGAAATAATTAATCATTTAATTATTACTTACATTAATAATTATTTCATTAATTTTTAAGTTTTATTTTAATAAATTTTAATTAGTAATTATACTTATAATTATATAATGAAGCAATTCAATATTCTATTACTAACTAATTATTAAATTAATATTTACATTAATTAATTATTTATATTTTAAATTATCAAATTATCATCTCTGCCATTGTCTGTCTAGGGTCGTTGTTGTTGTTCTACTTCCACGAAACTTCTCAACGGCTTTGTCGACGACGTTGTTACTATCAGTTCGGAGGTTGCGATGAGAGCTTGTCGCAAAGGTTATGATATTTCTCCACCTTTGCACGCTTCTTCAATAGAATTTATGAAATCCGCCAAAAAAAAAAATAAAAAATATAGGATTTAGGAAAAAATGGTGAAAGCGCCGTGAAGTAAAGATTAGACTTACCATAAGATTTGACTTACTATTTTTTGCTGTTTGGCAGGATTTAGCTCAAATTTTTCCTAAATCCTACTTTCAAACAGGCCCTAATGATTTATATTTCTACTATTTACTATTTTAGTCACTTGTTTATGTCCAGTCTGACGAGTAGATATGCTCAATAAACGCTCCTACTGGGATCATAGACTAGGTTTGTTCTATATTTTAGATGGCCCTAACCTATAAGCAAGTGGTTTGTACGCTTATAATGCTACTCATCTCTATAATCACTGAACCAAGTAAGAATGTGTCACAGAACCTCTAGTGTAAAGTAATGAACCTGATGTGTACCAATAAAATTCATGAATAAAAAAGAGCAAACTTTAATGGTTTATGTTTCTGCTATTTACCATCCTATGGTTCCCTGCAAACAAATATCAGCAATATATAATAATAAATCATCACATTCCATATGTGAGCCACTGGTGCATAATAATGAAATCATGTGGCATATACAGGTAATTTCTAGTTTTAACTTGTGAAGCATATTTAAATGCAAACTTGATGTAATACGATGCAAGAATTGTTTGTAGGAAATTAATAACTTGTGAACTTTGCGTAGCTAGTTAAAAACAAATGCGTTCCAATATAGATCGTAAGAAAATCTTTACGGAAGAACTAAGTAATGTCAATTGATTACAATTAAAAGCAACATGAGACTAACAAAATCCTTTCAACAAATAAATAATAAAGCAAATGGCTCTTAACAAAATCCACGGTTTAAGATCTAGATCATTCACCTCGGAATCCCTCACATGCACCCTTGATGTCGCTCGGCTTATCGGAAGAGGGTTGCACACAAACTTAAGGATGCCACTAATAAACAAGTGATGCCAAGGGGACTAGTTGTCGGGGAAGGAGCCGGAGTTGGAGGTACGAGTGGTCGTCCGATGAGAACCCACGGTGTTCGGGTTTGTTGGAGTTTGATCGTCTCGGCGAGGCAGTAGAGAATTCGTTTGATGTATCTTTCCACCGTTTCATCGTATTCTCAATCGGGTTCGTAGAAAGGAGAGAGAACAATGTCGATCTCTTCTTAGGCGTTGTAAGCAAACCCGTGATTAACCTCCGAATCGGCCATGCATGATCATGGGAGGATCTCGACGTCGTGGTGGTGTGAGGTGAAGGAACCGTCACCTAGGAGAAGTGCGGCCAAGAAGAAGAAGAGGGGGGGGGGAGATGGGGGCTCGGGTTGGGGAAGGTGGAGAAGGGGCGGCTAGGGTTAGATGGGGATTAGGGAGGAAGAATAGAAATCTAAAATTAAATTTCAGATTTAGTGAAATTGGAGGGAACTAATTTGAGATTTGAATTCAAATTAATTAGAGAGGGGGCATTAATGGGAATTAATGGGGCAAAGCCCATATTGGGGCCGACAGTATGAAGAGAGAGGGGAGAGGGAATTGTGGGGAGTTATGCTCTTTCCAAACAAGTTTGGTCAGTTAAGAGGGAAAATAATGAGTCCTCTCTAAATTAAATTTAGATTGGATTCAAATTTGAAAAGTTAACTTATTTGGAGTTTTGCAAATATGGAGACTTTTGAATTTCAAATATGAATTTCAAAATTTCCTAACTCCTATATTTATTGCAAGAGTCAAATTAGGGAGTCATTATGATGATTAATCATCATAGTGATTTTAGGGAAGATGAGGTCGTCGGTCAATAGGGAAGGGGGCGGCTAGGTGGCGGGTTGGGGCTAGGTTGGCGGGTGGGATTTAGGTGGTGGAGCTAGAGGATGAATTGGTGGAGGAGGTTAAGCCACCGGTGAAGGAGAGGTGGGAAGGGCCGGCGATTGACTTGGGGGAAGGGAGATGAAAGAACACACAATAAAATAGTAGTAAACTAACCACGAGCCGTGGACTCTTTCAACGACTGCTGGGTCTTGCACTTGCTCATCTTGAGCTCACTCTCCCTTCTCTCTAGCTCTCATGCAAGAAGAAGAAGAAGCAACGAAAATTTTATTAATCATTCATCATCCAATACAATGCATGAGGCCTCATTTAAATATGCCAAGATAAGACAAAGCTAGAAAGATACAAATGCCCTCAGGGCTACACAAGCGACTCAATACCCACTGGGGCAAATTAGGAAAATAAAATGCGAGAATAAATAAAATACAAAATAAATCAGAAATAAATGCTCTGGATCTTAGCCATCGATCTGCGTCTCTGATGATGGTACACGTGGCAAAATCTGATGTCCTCATCATTCTCCCCAGGTGGGAGAAAGCTCGACCCCGTCGAGTAAGCATCTCTAGAAGTCTCGTACCACTCCAGTAGGTCAGGGTCCAATCTCTGCAGTTCATCCCATGCGATCCATACGTTCTTCGTCTCCGTCTTTCCTGCCCATTGAACTAGATACCTTTGGCGACCACCGTCTTTAGTAGAAATGATTTCATCGCTAAGTATTGCCTCAATCCCTCTGCAGTAGGTAAAGTGGGAATGTTTGGAAGTGGAGGTAAGCTGGCTTTTGTTTATGCATGGAGGACCAAGAATCTACCCAAGGTTCAGCCCGACGAGTGATTGAGTAAAACATGGGTGATGTGTGTGTGACTATGAAATGGTCCTAATCGAGGAACCCAATTATTTATACAAGAATCTTCGATGTTTTATCAAACAGTCTCAAATTATCCCCCTTAAATTTTTTTTTTGAATTTTGGATACTCAGTGACTTTATGAAGTTTCAATAGAGCGATTTTGGACTCATCAGATATATTTCGTGGAGGGGCTTATTTTGACTATAAGTATGTAAATTTTGGAGTATATTTGACCCCCAAATGGCATATAAAAGTATGCAAATTTTGGAGTATATTCTTCTTTAATGTGCTTGATCTAAACTTATTTGGACTTGGATCCAAACAATTTTGGTACCGTTGAGTTTGTTTTGATGAACGCATTATTCGAACTACAAATTTGTTAAAGAAAAGGAGTTCAATTGATCTCAGAATCAACATCGAAAGATCTTAACCCAAACATGTAGGTGCTTTTAAGATGTAAAAAAATGCATCAAAATTCATGTCTAATTTGGTCAACTTTTTGGCCATTTAATTTCTACCACCCTTATTTTTAACTGATAATTAATGTTTATGGGTTTCAAATTGTTCAAAGTCTAAAAAAATTTGTTAATAAAAAAGTTACAACTCAGAGGAAATTTTGAGATACAACCACTTACTAGATATCAACGTGGACCTCCTTGGGACTTTGAACTAAGATTTCTTATTAGTTGTAGACTTGTATATGTAAAAGCTCTGTGCACCATCATCACAATTTTTATGGTAAAATTTTTAAATATATGGCTAAAAATTCTCTGACAACTTTTAGTCTACAACGTAGAAAAATGATTTTGAAAGATCGAAAGATATTGAAAAAATTGTGTTTCGTGTATATTGCTCTTAATTTATCTGTTTGTGTTAGGTTTTTTGTAATAATAAGATAATAGGGTTTTGGGTGGGTAAATTCAGGAATATTATTGCACGCACAATATAAATTGTTAATATTTTTCTGCCCTTCAAAAAATTTTTATGCTTTTGTTTTCTGTGTAGTGTTTGTACCATTTGCTTATGTTTGTTTTTTGTCCCCTTTAAATTCTTGTATTCTGCAGAAGAAGAGGACCGCATTATAATTGCTGCTCACTCTGTTCATGGTAATAAGTGGGCAGTGATTGCAAGGCTTTTAGAAGGGAGAACTGACAATGCAATAAAGAACCATTGGAATTCTACACTGAGACGCAAATGCATTGAAATAGAAAGCTCTAAAAGAGCACCTTGTGACGGTCAGGAAGATAATAGTGCTGATAATTTAGAGAAAACTAAAGGATCTTCAGAGGAAACTCAATCATTTGGGGATGTTAAGGCCTTCACGATGACAGAAGGAAGAGACATTAGTTCCAGAGAAAGCTTATCCCATCATTCTGAAGACAGAGTAAACGCAGTTGGACCTGAATTTAAACAGCCAGCTACCATTTTTCGGCCAGTTGCTAGATTAAGTGCCTTCAGCCCGTATAATCCTGGTTTTTTAGCATCCAGGTCTTCTCCAAATGCGTCTGTCTTCCGAACTTGCATTGGCGATTGCAAATTGCTTGAAAACATCCTCTGGGAACCCCCCCACGTACCAGCCAGATGTGGGCATGGCTGTTGTGGGTCTAAAACAACCAGAGATGAGAATAGTAGTAGCTGTTCATTATTGGGACCTGAGTTTGTTGAGTTTGTGGAGTCTCCACCCATCCTGAATCATGAAATAGCTTCCATGGCCACAGAGTTGAGCAATGTCGCTTGGCTTAACAGTGGGTTGCAAACAGGTATATACAACACCTGTCGGATTAATCCATCAACCAGTTCATGCACTGCAAGTACATGTTAAAGTAACAATTGTCTTGTTGTATGAAGTAGCTGTCTTTAATGTGCTTGGCAATTTATGTAAGTGAAGTTATCTCATCCCTAGTCGGACATTAGATTTTTTTTCTTCTTCAATTTGAATGTCTGATAAGCAACCAGTTCAAGAAATTTCTTCTTTTTGTAGCAGAGACACTGTTGGTTCACCTGTGAGCAACCTGATTATCGTTTAGGTATCAATTTTTTTATTTAATTAAACGTTATTTCTTTAAGGCTTTGTTTGGGACGACTTTTTTGTTGCTTTTTAAAGCAGCTTCTTAGTATACAAATTAAAATTTTTGCACTAAGAAGTTGCTTTAAGAAGCAGAAAGGAAGCCGTCCCAAACGAAGCCTAAGTTGATTGAAGTCTGCAGTGCGTGATGGTACATTGTTGATAAAAAGATACCAAGTATGGGTTCCTTTGGACCATAGATTCTAAAACACGGCAAGAAGAAAGTAACCAAATAAAAAAAAAATGCGACAATGAAACAAAATGAAGAAAGAGTTGTGCTAGACGCCCTATGTTGCTCGCAGCAGTGACATGTTATTACAATGAAAACCAGCTTCGGTCTAAAATATGAAATTGCCATTAGAAAAAAAGGTAATAAATTAAGATATAAAAAATTGCCAAGCAATCACAAAAGAAAATTCAAAATTGCTGGTGGGGCCATGGTACAATAAGCATCTTGACAGCAGGATTGTCCAACGAGAGAAATTTCTTGCGACAATCTCAAATATTTCAATGTGTTGAGTAAATTTCTCAGCAGTCCCAAGCGTCCGGTCTATGTCCCACTTGTACTATAATTTGTGCTGTCTCTGTCTACACCCCATTCATTGCTGCTTCAGAATGAACGTGATGATTACCATTCTCAATATGTTTCCCACTGCTTTGCGTTCTTTGCCTCTGAAAACACATTATATTTATATATATAACTGCATTAGTTTCTTGTGCGCAAATAATAGAGTCAACATTCAAAACAAATGCCAATGAAAATTTCCTCCTACATGTCCCAAAGTATTCTTGTCATCGTCACCATTATCCTTTCCTCCTTCCCCGATTCTTTTTAATTGAGTCTATATGATGTGTGTCAATTCTTAGAATATGTTCTATTTGAAGGAAAAACACCACTAATGAAATATAGGGTTTAGTTATTGTTATCAAATCAAATTTATCATGTCTTTATGGTGTAAAAATTTATTATTTATTATTATAATACTTTTATGTTATTGATAATCTTCTCCTTTATAACTTTAAATAGAAAAGAATGAATTCAACCTCCCTACCTCTTTTTCTGTAATAACAATCAAATAAGTATAAAAGACTCTCTCATTTTTTTTTTTAATGATGAGCAATAAATCTCAAAGTATGTGGCTCAAACTCATTTTTTTTAATTGTTCAGTGACATTTTCTACTGTCTTACTCTCACCAATAAAAGCTAGCTGGCACACAAGTTGTGCATTAGTAAAACTACATGGATGAGGATGTCTAATAGCCTTATTTCAAACAGGAGATTTGCAGCTAAGAACTCCAGTTGACTGCCCAAACCAAAAATAAAATTAAAAATAAAAGCCATTATAATCAGCGATGTGGCAATTTTGCAAGTTTGGGGTCATACCCGATCAGCAGCATCACCATTCAATAGCTTGTGGTTCTCTTCTTTGGCTTTGCTCTCTTTTTCTTTAGAACTCAAAGGAAGTATTTGTTGACTTCCAACAGAACGATCAGGCATTTCTGTAGAAAGTTATTCCAAATTTATAACCATAATCTTCACAATATAAGGCGGCTGCTAAACAAACAAGAAGAGAAAATCAAATATAAACCTGGTAGCTTCGTGTCAACAAAAAATACGACCAAATTTACAGTATACCTGACAGCAAAACAAGTGAAATCAGATCAGACATAATGCAGCGGATAAAATGGAAAAAAAAAAAAAGCTTTCTACTTACCATGCAACTACAACATCAACAGAATAGTGTTTCCGAGCAGCTACTATAAGCAGACTCTGTAATATAACCATCAACCATGCAAGCATCTTGATGAACCTGAAAGCATAATCCAAATAATTATATAAATTAGATTAAATCAATGGAAATTTAAAATGCCCTTCTTCCCTCATTGTGATATTACTCATGCCTCCAATTACAAGATACAGAACATCAGTTATTCAATAAAAAGAACAATTACCTGTTTGAGCCATACTTATAATAAGTACGCACAAAAACCAAAGTAAATATCATGTGGGATGAAAATATCAAGTCACCACATCCATATAGGACTCCTCGAGGAACTGCAAGCAGAAAAAACAATCACAAATACACTACAGTTGCCAAAACTAAGAAAAGACGGGATGATAGCTAGTAGGAAGACAAATCCATATGAAAAATAAGACATGAATAACAACATACAATTTAGAAGGAGAACTTCAAATATGCTATCGGGATGGGGAAGTATGGCAAGAGGTGATCCCTGCACAGGTAGAAATTCTTGATCAAGGATACTTTTAAGATCTTTGCGTAACAGTTAAAAAAGATAAATTCCTTAGTAATATCAAAACAATTCTCATTTAATAAAGTTTTAACAAGTTAATACCTCACGACAATGATAATTAGGACCCGGGAGTATGGTAGAATAGAATGTAAAAATCCGTAGAGTCTGGCAAATCTGAAAAAGATAACTTAAATTAGATTGCATAGACTAGAGCAGGTGCAATTACAAAGTATGAGAAACAATTAAACATACTTGGCACTTACCACTAGACAAGCCAACACCCTAAGCCACAGCAGAACAGTATAGAAGCGCTTGCCATGGCAAACGAACGGATGAAATGACCACTTCAAATTAAAAAAAAAAAAATTTAAAAAAAAAAAAAACATTAGTATAACCAACAAGTTATGTCATCCTACGAGGAGGAACATAATTAGAGTCATGTTCAAGAGATATATTCAAATTCATAGATTTCACAAGGGTCAGAATCTCCAAGAAGAAAAAAGCATCAGATGCATTAGAGACCTTGATAAAGGCACATTTAAAAGTAAGAAAATTTTAAAATTTCAGCTAAAAAAGTCCTTTGAAGTAAAACCAGAAGTTCTAATTCCATATTAGGATAACATATTTCACAAACAATACACAAAAGTAATGCATATGAAAAATTACGTGAAGAGTCACAAAGGAAGCAGACGAAGTATTCTAAATTAAATTGAAACAAGAAGTAAACTGAAGTGTCAATGGATTCAAATGAGGCAGATGATAAGTCCAAACATTAAAAGATATTGATCATGTGCTTAAAAAAAAAAGGTAAGCCAATAAGTGACACAAAAACCTTCTCAGTAAGAAACTGCACGTGGAATGAGATAACATACCAATAAGAAGGAGAAAAAGATGACCGAGAAAAGTGTCTCGCTAAGGTAAGCTCTTTGCACTCCAAGCTCCTGAAGTATGGACAGTGCACAAAGATGTAGACGTGAGAAATTTTCTCAAATATTGAATTAATTTCTCAACTGTTTTTTAGAAGATGCTCACCGGCAAGATAGCAAATCCTAGATCATGAAGAACTGGTCCAGGCCGATGTAAATAATGTACACCTCTAGCAGCCAAACCATGAAAATACTGAAAAGAGAGCAGCAAATATAACTTCAATTTGGTGCACACCATAAAATAAACTATAGAAATTACTTGACAAATCTTAAGGAAATAACCAAAGGGAAAAAGTGAATAGAAACAAAAAATTCAGGACAGTTAGAAAACTGCAATCATTTATATAACATAACCATGTATTAATCATTGATTTAGTGCAGCAGAAGGTTCAAGAAGGTTGCGTAATCAGTTAAATGAAGAAAGTGAGGATTGTTCCCTTTAATGAGAAGGCCACATTCATGGACAGGCTTTTATGAAACTGAGAGATCTTTCTGAAGTTTTTCAGCATAAGCTTTAAAATTAGAGAATTTGAATGGTCTTTATACCAATTAAAATATCAAAAAGAAATGTTAAAATAGGCCTTGGGATTCTGCTTACATTATGAATAGCAGATGGTCACTTTGCCTGTAAACTTGTTAAAGTCATTGATTTTATACATTTTTTAAAATGATAATGTGTTTTGGGTTCTTCTCAAATAAGCTGAATCAATGAATCGGTGATAGCAAGTAGATCATACCCAAAAAAAATGCAAGTTAATGAAAAGGCAACCACTATGCTCACAAGTAGGGTATTTCTGCGTAAAGCCATGCTGTTTTCAATATTGAGGTAATGAGATTTTACCAATATAAAAGATACAATAATAATTACATAGTCTACCAATATAAAAGAGATAATCAAATCCAAAAGAGAATAGTGGTCCGGCCATATGTCCTCTAGGACATCTTGTTGGAAAGAATATCAACAAAGGACAAAAATTAACCCACTGCACATAGGAAGGCTTACCGTAACTATTAAGAAAAGCGGCTTCTGACATAATCTCCAAGATAGCAGTGTGTGTGTGTGGGTGTGGGTGGGGGTGTGTGTGTGAGAGAGAGAGAGAGAGAGATGGAATATTGTATGAGAAACCACAAAGATTTCAAAATTGTTAATGCTCCTCTCCCATGGCTTGCCACCCAACACACGAAGTAATTGGCTGGCTATCATTTCATAAGCATTACTGAATTATCTTATTAGGCTAACTAAACACCATCAACTTCACCAAAGATAGACTGATAAGCCAACAACAATTTAGTAAGAGATTATTACATGCGGGGTCCGTACGCATTCGGACTCCAATGTGTATAATACACACCCTGTGTACAAGTTATATACATTGTGTGTACAAGCCCCATGGCATTGGAGTCCAGACGCCAGCTACTCCGCACGTAATAATTTTTCCAATTTAGGACACTGCAAATACAATAAAGTGATTTTTTTTCTTGAAGAAATGACAGTTACACCGAAAGAAAAAAGAACATGAACTTTACTACTGAAAATAAGCACCTAACCAAGGGAATCCTGCAGCCAAAATTTAGAAGGCTGCCATTGCATAACAATATAAAATAAATACTTGTCAGCTACCCTGTAGCCAATGGATCATAAAAATGTAAAATAAATACTTCTCAACTACCCTGTATGCGATGGATTGTAAGCCCTTCGACACCAAAACCAAATACAAGTGAAATTAACAAGCGCAAACCAGGATATATGGAAACCCTTAGGTAATTTCACTAACAAAAGGTCATAATGGAAAAGTAAAGAAATCTACCCAAAAACCCTAACCAACACTTTCTCCGCACGAATTTATCAATAAACACCAACTGAAACTCCAAAATCATACCTGAAAAACGAGCCCAGCCAATAGAAACTTCCACTTCTCTGCCAGCAGTTGTAGCTCCACGTACGTCTCCATAAAAATCTTCTTCCATAGCTGAAACAAAGCACAAGAAATTCCACTCAACAGAATGCACAAAGATCATGGAGCCCAAGAAAATAGCAGAATGGTAAAAAAAATAACATTTTTTTTTCTTAAAAAACAAGACCTTGGAAGCTTCGCGTCCAACATAAAACATCATATTAATCAGCGGCATCCACTTCCATATCATCTAAGCAACTGACAAAACTCCCGCAAAAGGCCCTAGATTGCCTTCAACTCTGTCTCTGTTCGATCGATCGGCCCTAAAACAGAGAGTTTGCACGTAGCTGATCTGAAATCGATTCCCCTTTCCACAGATACCTCTAGGAATCTCCCGTATTTCTCTTGTAATCTTACTTTTAATACCTTTCCAGCAATTTCATAGCGACTGGAAGGCTTTTAATTGGCCGGTCGCCTGCTTCTAGAAACCAAGAGTAAGAGAGAGACCAAGAGAGGAACGGCTCCTTCCTCCTCCTTGTGCTCGATTCCAACGGGTATCGAAGAAAAGCGAGGCCAATAGAATGAAGAGAACGAGAATGAGAAAATATTTTTAAAAAGAGGGTTTCCTTGTTTACTTGCATAATATCTAAAACAAATCATTTTATGTATTTAATATTTAAATTTTATATTTATTCACATTGATAATCCTTAATTTCATTTTTATAACATTTAAAAAACTATCTTCTTCACCCCTTTTCACTTCTATTACGGGCTCTTTAAACATCATCGGTGGTCTCCTAATATTCTTTTCTAAGAAATATTATTTGTTGAGACATTTAGTTGAATTAAGGCAATTATGTATCACATGCTCAAGACCTAAATATGACATCTTTTAGTTAATAGCTAAAATTCTCAACCAACAAATCAAGATGAGTCACGTCTAACGAGATATTGTCAAGACAGATCTTTTTCATACTCAAAGATGCTCACATGTGCTCGATCACCTTAATAGCCTTCCTCTAGTGAGATTGTCGTGATCTCCTTTGCTTTTTTTTTTTTGTCAAGTGAATTTTATAATTTTGAGTAGAAATGCATGTACATTACAATAAAATTTTGAAAATATGAATGGACACTAATATTAAAAGTTATCATGGTTTTAAAAGAAGGATCGAACCTAAAGGGTCAACTAGTGAACAGTGAATCGGTCGGCTAGTCGGTTCGATATCCTTATAAATTGGGATTGCAGGAAATCACCCAAGAACCGCTCGGACTGGCAGTCGAATCAGTGAACTGAAGAACTCATGCTGATTTTTTTAAACCATCTGGCTTAAATAGAGCAAAATCGGAGCCATTGATTTTGGATGAAGTAGTCCATATCAAAAAAAAAAAACCTAATATTCTTATTCCAATCTCGTAACCTCATTTATGCTCAAGTCCCGTTTGGTCGTCCCGTTCCTTCGTCTCCACTCGACATCCCCTCTTGGTGCATTTGCTTGACGAGCAGCTACAAGCTTTTTGGTCACTCCCTTCTTCTCTAGCATCACTACTATAAGCAAGTTGAGTTGTCATGAAAATAAAATATTTATTTGTTGTGATTTTATTCAAACCTTTAATTGAGTTATTATCTCTCTCTCTCTCTCTCTCTCTCACACCATTGTGTATTCATCCTGCCTAGAGTGATATGTAAATTTTCTACCGTTATAGTGAGTCCTAAAACAAATTATCTGGGTCGAGAAGGTACAGTTCAGTTCAGTCATCATCAGCATCACATGTCTCAGAGGTGTTTCCTTTTGTAGAGTTGTCTTGATGGTTATTGAGCTTCTCTACATACTTATCATTTGATATTAGTCTATCAATTGATGGGTTTGTGTTTAAGTTTAAGCATCTTTTAAGTGAATTAAGAAGAGGATTTATCTATGTGATTTTAAACCATGTGTTTATAAAGTGTGATTTTAAACTGTGTGTTTAACTTTTGATACGTCACCAAAAATCATCTTAATCCTGTATGTCAAGGGATATTTGTTGAAAACTTTCAAAACTACATTAGGGACCATCTGAACTCCAATTTCAACAAAATTATAAATAAAATAAAAGCCTCGAAGAGACGAACCCAACGACATCAAAATTGGTCCAATCCGAGCCCAAATGGGTCTAATTTGGAGACCCAAAGCTTATTTGGAAGGTTTAAAAAATAAATTGGATGAACAAATTATATTCAAATATGACATGCTTATAGTCGAATTGAGCAGCTCGGTGAGAAAAATCCAACGAGCCTAATATCACTAAATTTTAACATCATTAAGGCACATAAAACACTTGAAAAATGCTTTATGATCGGGGGATCAATATGGGTTGTCCGATGGAGCATTCTAATTCTGCCATAAATCTTCTCCATATTTATGGGTCATGCCACTCTCAAAAATCTATAAATAAACCCCCACTCTCTACATAAAGGGGGACTTTTGGGTATAGAATTGAGAGAGCTCTAAAGCTTCAAGAGCTCCAACACTACTACCGGTGAACCTCCGTTGATTGTTGTCGGACTACCACCCTGTCACTAACCGCCACCGAACTTCCACTCAGCCGTCGATAGCTGCCAAACTTTCACCCGACCATTTTCGAACCACCAGCCTACCGCCAACCTCTGCCACCTACTAACTACGATCCCTTGAATCACCGTTGTCCTTTAACTATGATCCTTTCAACCATCATCTCCCATAAACTTTGGACCCTCGAGCTACCATCGCCCGTAACTACAACTCCTCTTGTAATGCCATATAATATAAATTGAAATAATTATTTATTTAATCTTTTAATAAGCAACAATCAGAACTATTTAATATCATATATCAGTAATAAAAAATAACAAAACTTTTATAATTTAAAACATCAATATACACATATATATTCATTCCTAAAATAATTATATACAATACTTATGATCTATACAATCATATCACAACAACTCTATCATGAGTATAAAAGAAAAACAAAAATAAATAGAACTTGAAGAATCATGATCAGCCTTACACTAATGCTCCCCTGCCCTAACCTAAAATCATTTAACCATATATAATAAACTTAAAAAGGCTAGTAGGTTATCAAAATCTATAACTGAATTCAAAGCACGACAAAGGAGAAATAAGTATGTCAACAATCAAATTATAGCAGTTGCATCTATATGATCATTGAATCAGTGCAGAATAGTAAAATTCACATGTACTTGTAATAGAATGTATAAACTATAAAATACTACAGTACGAAAGTCAATAAATAAGTAAATTAATATGAGTGTTAAATTTATAAAGAATTCATCATATCTGTAATACCAATAAATAAAGAAATCATATAAAGTATCAAATCAAAGCATCAATAAAGACAGTTGAAATCAAATCAATATAGTAAAATTATATAGGAATGTACACATGATATTCAGTTATTCTATACCAGTATCAAATCAATATTTTACATGTTCAGTATGTCACATACTTATTATACAATGAAACAGTAGTATCAAAATATTATCAGTATATATCTATATCAATAATAATAATAATCTAGTAGTATGAGCATTAGAATAACGCAATAACAGTAAATTCATACACTAATAATAAATTTATATAATAATAAGAATAATGCATCAAAAATATGCATTTAAGTAGTCACAATAAACAAGTCAGAAGTACTGACTATCATGGTGTTTTTCAGTGTTAATATTAGTATTAATAAACTATTTGCTCAATAAATAAAGTCGCAACTCTTTGTCCATCGGCACAATAATAATCTTCTTATAACTCCATATTAGTGTATCACGTGAATCAGTAGAGGAAAATATCAAATCATAGTATTTAAAAGAAAACTCGTCAGCCCACCATCATGTACAGGTCAATCAGTCTCCAAACAATGGGTCAACCAGTCTTTACTTGTTTGTTTCACACACATATATTATTATCAAAATACAATAATAGTAATAACGATCAACTATTACTCAAGTACATATTCACATTCATTTTCAATACATTGTAGTAAATAATATATAATTGAGTTGAATTAAGAAGATGCCAAAATGTCATAACGATAGACAACAAAGAATCATATTAGGCAAAAATGCACACTTTAGAAAATTATCGAAATACCAAGAATTGTATAAAATAATATTTTAAGACTTTTATTATACTACACTATTATTTTTAGATGTTAAAATAAATTTATGGTTAGACAAAAATTACTATATTTTCAAAATCACCCAGTGAAAAATTGCAAATAAATACTCAAAATATTCATAATCTTGATCTCTATAGCATACAAAAAGTTACAGGTTAAAGTTTTGTCAATATAAGGTTATTCACATTTTTCTGTAAGAGAAATACAAATTTGATTAGAAAAATATTAAAAATATAAAATATTTGAAATTAAAAATAGGGTAAAGGTTCCTTAACCGCTAAACGAGCAATTTTCATAACAGGCTTAACGGACAAAAAATTGCACCGCAACCCGTAAGCCAACTCTCTAATTATCGAAATGAGAAGGGAAAAAGTTTTTTTTTCTTTGTAAAAGCTTTAATGACATTAGATATTTTTATAATAAAATCATAATTTAATATTATATAATTAATTTAATCAATTTCTGTTAATAGAAAATTCAAATAAATTATTATAGGATTTAAAAAATTACCATAAAAAATAAACATAAAATAAAGCATGTTTTTTAAAAAATATCGATGAAATTTGTTTGTAAAAAGGACACTAGACGGTTCCAAAATTCTCACTTATACCAACATGTATCAATTTTTAAAGAATTTTCACCAGTGCCCAAAAAAAAAAATCCTGCAAGTAAAATACTACGATCAAAACACTATGGCAAATATGGATTACGATTTGGAGTTATAATGACTCTAGAAAAAATTTGTAAAGTCAAAATATGGGTTATTACACCTCCAATCTCTGTCTCCTGTCGACTACGGTCCCTTCGACCACCATCGCCAGCGGCTTACACCAGCATATTATGGTCCCTCTAAGCACAGTCACCCGCCAACTGTGATGCCTCCGATCATCGTCGTTGCCCGACTGTAGTCCCTCTGATTTTCATTGCCTAAATACAGTCCTACCAACCAAATGAACATGCCGCGTTCTCTTGAGAATGATTTCCTTATCATTGGATTCTTCTAACCACACTATACAATGGGTTCTATATGATACATTAAGCCAATGCTTAATAGACCCCTAAGAAGGGCACTATTTGTGATCAAATACAAACACAAATTAAATCAATTTAATTAGGCCAGGTCTCGGGATATTTTTCTTTTTTAGGAGTTTTCACGTAAAAATTTTGGTGTCTCTTATGACTCTTGAACCTCTTCTCTTTAGCTATTTGTATGTTGGATTTTCGTACAAACTATGACGCTAAACTCAATATCTCACTATCGCCGCGAATTTTCCTAGATGCAACAAGTTTACTTCTATAAGCAAGTTTGTTTTAAATATTCTTAGATATATCTTTTGTACTTGTTTAGAGAATATTTTGAAAAATATTGTGTTGGTGAAATAGATTTCGAGCTGCAAAGATTAATTTTTAGTGTTTACTGAAATCAGATTTTAGTTTGCTGAAATCATAT